TGGTTATAATCTAATACAAGTGTTGTGACTTTTTCGTGATGTTGGTATTCATATTGCTTTCTTCATAAGACTGTAATTTATCTAAGAGTCAAAGAGTATATATTTACTGACAAGTCCTTGAAACAAGCACACTCTTGAGCTTGCACAAGTTGCCACACTTTTACACTAACTTTGAAGAAGCGATTCGAATGGTCAAGTCTGGACAGTACTCTGCAACTTGAATATGTTGAGTATTCCCAGTCGTAGTGACTTAAAAGCTGACAAAAAGCTACAAGATGCACATTTTACATATTTATATACTTAAAGCGTGATCAAGGATACACACTAGTTGCATTGAGGCCCAAGTACCACAAATGACAAGAACGGCAGAGCATTCCAAGTGATACATGATGCCTTCATGCACTAGAAATTCAGACTATGAGTGCTGTCGTATGCCTTGGATGAACGTGCGAAAGCAGAAAAGTCGTTGTCAAGGTGAACAATATGAATATTTCAATGCAATGATAAGAATGAAAAGGTGACAAAGCTACGCATCATACGGAGAATGCATGATCACGTATGAAATCATCCAATTGAAACGAATACTCTGCTATCATTGAAAAGTTGGAGACCAAAATTACGCCTCCTTGGATATACGTATTGCACTAGTATGTCGATCTCTCGGAGAGAACACTAGTCGGACACTCGTAGAATCACGCGCATCATTGCACGCTTCTATCGGTGCATTGATCGTTGATCCGCACTCGTTCGGTACCAAAACCAAACTAAACCGATCTCACGCCGCCTCCGCTCTATTTCAGGATGCTGAGATAAAACGATCGTACCCTCGATCAGCCAGCCTTTACCCACTGGGAATACGTGATGACAAGTTCTCCAAACTCTCCAATGGACCAACTCTCTCCATGATCGTGAAGGCTCGATTAACAAGAATGGTGAGTGGTAAACTGAGTATAATCTTCAACGCGTGTACCTTGATAGAATCCTCGGACTTCTCAGACAGAAAGAGCAAGGCGTATGCTTAGGGCCACAGATTCAGAATACCGGTTGTCAGATCTCACGCCAGCCTGCAACGTTTTGTACCCCAAACGCTTGCGGTCATGTTTGAAATCATGACACGACACGGGGGACGTCATGGGAAACATACCCAGTTGAGAAGATGCAGCAATGCTACTTTGCTTTCGACCATACGCACGGATAGATGCAAGTGCACAAACGTGAGTGCTTAGGGAGATAAAACTACTCTGAGCGGACGTTACACGGACCAGCGCGATGGCCCTCATGTATATGAAACCTGCGCCACATTACTCGAATGTCGTATGGTGGTACGAAGCCTCTCCGACGACTCCAAGTCGGGAAGTGCAAGTGAGAAGAGAGTGCGGACAAAAAAACATATCTCGGGACGGAAGAGGAAGAAGACGAGCCAGGTATGTAGGATTGCCATATGCGGATAGCCCGTGCTGAGTGATCCGGAGATCGTGACGGAGGGAGTCTCATCATCGAAGCAAATGCCCGGTCCAGATGCTCACAAGTGCAGTACTTCAATAAACCCCCTGCCTCCAAGTGCAAGCTCTCCATCCGCCGTCGTGGCGCCCTCTCCTGCTTCCCTCCATGATATTCAATTTCCCCTCATCTCCTCAGTTCGCCAAGCGATTGACCGCACACCCGCATTTCGTACGTTTTGAGACCACCGATAGCAGCACAGCATCCTCTAGTAGACTAGGTGGAGGGGGGAACAGTCTGAAAGGCTAAACGACAGAGAACACGTCGATTAATTTCAAATTAATTCGATCCAGTCGGTATGTCTATCTTCATACTCTTTCTGGACGAGCTGTGTGTTAAGATGTGCCTACTAATGTAGTTAGACGACCCAGCCACCTGAATCAGAGAGTTAGGTCGGAGAGCACGCACAGAGCCTGGGCTTCTGGTATTTCGCACGGTGTCGCATTCAAATTGTGAAAACCTGCATAGTTGTGCACGGCTTCTGATACTCAAGCGCTGAGCAAAGAGTGCGACTAAGGTTCACGACTTTGTGAGCATGCCCCTTGCGGAATGATTAAAGAGATCTTTGCTAATAGATACGGTAGCGAAGGGACTCGAGTCGAAAGACAGTTCGGATCCAGTCCTCCTCAACTTTGCGTGCATGCCTTTGACTCTACTTCCAACTGTCAGCTTATCGTCCGCTCAGGAGTTTTTGACATTCGAAGTTACGTGCACCGGCCGACCTTCACTGAGGCCGGCACTTTCTTCGCAGGATTCGTTTGCTTCTTCACATTCGGGCTCTAGTAATACTTCGGCGACCCCCCGCAGAAGTCGCCCGACCCTATCACCGGAAGCCCTACTGGTACATGCCTTTGGTCCGTCGGCGCTAAGTCGATTTTCACCTCCCATAGGAAACGAGGGACAAACATCTCAGTCCTCGTCGTCTTCCTCCCGTGACTCATCAAAATCCCGTCGTCGAAAGCACAGCATAAATACTTCATCTCTTCCTCCTCAACCACCTCCCGGGACTTTCCGCTCTACGCCTAAACCCGTGAAAATTCCCTCAAACCAGCTTTCGCTATCCGAATTAAATCCATTTCAAATGCATGGGGGCGATTCCATGGAAGAACTTAGAGGGGACATGTCGTCTCGAGAATGTGAACGATCGTCTATACGCGAACCGCTTATGTCACCAGTCAAATGGCGCGAGAAAGTCGAAGGACGTGTCCAACGGCGCAAGCTTTTGCGTTTAAGAGACCCACCTGGCGAAGCGGGGAAGATGCCCCTCGACATTGATTGTCGCCCCATGGAAGGTTCGATGAATCTTGCTCCTGCAACAGAAATGCCGAATACCAGGAAGTCGAAGTCAAAGAAGCGGGACAGTACATCACCAGTATTGTCGAAAGAAGTAGCTGAGATCGTGAAGCAAGAGGCGGAGCGGTTATTGGTGGAGGAGAAGAAGGGGACGAGCCGGCCTTCATCTAGACAAAGACCCATAATGGAGACGAACGACCTCGATGACTTGATCAAGCAGTGCGATAAAATACGCCTACAAGAGACTTCCGATTGATGGTACTCCCCACTTTTCCTGCGTCCGTCCTATTCATTTTTGATGATCCATCTTTCCAGTACTCTTCTCCATGCTTTTGGTTTCTAATTGCACATTCGGCCACCTCAAAATGAGACTAAACGCTTTAAATTCGGTCTCATTCCACCCAAAAGTTGTCTCGATTGCGTCTTCAGTACCTCGTTCCCCCGCGCCTCAGCATTAAGACTGTCGGTCCATGCATACACGGAGTTTCGTCTTATAATATTTTCGTATCCCCGGGTTTATTCGCACTTCGCCACCCTCTTCTGATCTCAACAAATAGAACGTTCACGGCTTTTCTTACAAACTTTTCGATCCTTTGCTTCCTGCCAGACAGGTGCAATGTCGCCCAGCGGGTAAGCTATGCACGTTGTTCCACGTATGGAACATTGCCTTCTCGTTCGTCTGTCGTCGTTGCTTTTGACCTACATATATGCACTCCATCGTCACCTCACAACTCCACCATACACGATTCCATCACCTGAACGAGTTCTCATTTACACCCATGCTCGCTGCTCATGATTATATCAATATCGTTTGATTCCCCATGTTCAGAATTCACCAGCCATCACCCTGTCTCGCTGCATGCTTCTCATCTTTTTTCGTCGTCCAAGCACGATCCCACCCTTGTATGCTTATTGTCGCTTGCTAGTCTTTTGGGCTCTGAGTAGTTTAGTTAGTTAACTTAAACAGAAATTGCAATGTGTATACTAGTAGGATAATTGTCGGGTATTGTATTATAATAACAACTTTGCGAAATAGGAGGTTTTCTGGTTCTTTTGACACTGATCTGGTTTGAGTCTCCGATTCGGGAATAATTTGTAAGTATCGAAGTAGAGTTTGAGTCGTACCAGAATAAGTTTCCTTATGAGGTGGACAGACGCACACGATGACGACACAAAATGACCGGTCGATCCCCGATTCACTGCATATGACTGTATTACTGACTCTCACTCGCCTATATTACCCCCCTGTAAGCGCGAGCCTCGGACACTACTCTATTACCAACAATCGTCCAATAAGCTTAAGCTCGGGCCTTCGTAAAGGGGCTGCTTTTCACTACTATTATAAAGTGTGTCTCAAGAGGAGAAGTTTGCCCGTCGTGTTTCTCCTTCCGAAATCTGCGAGCAGCCTTGTTGGCGGCTCCTCATCTTCTGCTGCTGAATATTACCAAGAGAAAGGAAAGAGGAATAGTAGTAGTGCTGGGAAGAACGGGAAGAACGGGATAAAGATGTCGACGGCAACAAGGGACGTAAGTCACCAATCGGATATTTCGAAGATGAAGGCGGAGGGAGATGGAGAGTTTAAGAGGAAGCCGTCGACGTTTAGGAATGGGATTGAGAAGGGGGGACGGTTCGAGCCGGAGAGAGGTATGTCTATTGTCGTCATTATATTCACTTCCGAGTTTTTATGCTTTCAGTGATCTTTTATATTGAGAACTGACAACTGATAACTGATATTAAAATGTGAAACATAGATAGATATCATCTTTATGTGTCATATGCGTGTCGTAAGTGGTTCGAAAGGTTCGTGGGTAGAGGTTTGCTGACACAGGTGGAATTTATTTTATTTTATTGTTTTGATGGTGTGTTGTAGCGTGGGCGTGTCGTACGTTGATTACGCGCAAGCTCAAAGGCCTTGAAGAGATCATCCGTGAGAATTTCCTCCTCTCTAATCCTCCTACCGATGATTTTTATTCAACTGGGAACCATTAGCATTCTCCGTTGTCTCACCCCGAATGGGCGAACACGGCTGGCCATTCGCCAACATCGATCCCTTCCCAGCAGCAGGTGTCGACCCAGTCAATCACGCACAACACATAAAAGATCTCTACCTCAAAGCGGACCCAAACTATAACGGCCGTTTCACAGTTCCCGTTTTATGGGATAAGAAACACCAGACGATAGTCAATAACGAGTCTTCTGAGATCATTCGGATTTTCAATACCGCGTTTAATGAGTTGGTTGATGCAGAGAAGGCTAAGGTGGATATTTATCCGGAGAAGTGGAGGAAGGAGATTGATGAGGTTAATGAGTGGGTGTATGATACTGTGAACAGTAAGTCTTTCCATCTCCTTTACTCTTCTACTTGTATATCCGGGAAAATGGTGACTATATGCGCTCTTTTTTAGATGGTGTATACAAGTCCGGATTTGCAATGACGCAAGCGGCATACGAGAAGTCCGTAATAGCCGTCTTCGAGTCTCTCGACCGTATTGAGAAGATGCTTGAGGGGAAGAAAGAGTATCTCGTTGGCGACCAGCTGACGGAAGCAGACATTCGTCTATTTGTCACTATCATTCGGTTCGACCCGGTATATGTCGGGCATTTCAAGTGTAACTTCCGAACTATTCGCTCGGGGTATCCGAATATTCACAAGTACGTCTTGTACCCGATCCCGCTCGAACCTTCTTCTTCTCCTTCTTGTTTAATATCTTCGCGATATGAATCGATGCGAACTAACATCTTTGACTTTGAACTTCTAGCTGGTTGCGTAAGTTATACTGGACGAACCCTGCATTTAGCACGACGACGAACTTTGACCATATTAAGACACATTATTATTGGTCTCATCCGCATGTACGTTTTACGAAGCTACAACCTAGGCTATGCAAAGTCTGACGACGCTAACTGCTTAAACTTGATCCCTAGATTAACCCGACCCGTATTGTTCCTGTCGGACCTATTCCAAACATCGAGCCTCTGCACTAACTCACTAAGCGAATATGTAAAAATGTGTTAACAGTCCGTAAGATTCCATATGATTCGGAGAAAGGCCTCGTACTACGTACGAAGGTGCTGTAGTATGTAAATGTGTAACGGAATTGGTATGTCTATATGCTAATAATTGATTGAGTAAACGCGTGATGAGAGATTGTCCAGAGCAACCACGAAGAGAGAGAGACATGAATTTCCTTCCTCGACTCATCCTGCTCCTCGCGCACCTCGGTCTCACCAACCTAAAATTCGCACGGCGTTGCATGCACACCTTTGATCCTCCCACCCGGAACAGGGATTTACACAAAAACATAGCTGAAACGAAGTCTTTCTTATCAGATAAACTTAAAGTTATTAGTACGTAATGATAGTGATATACCACAGATATTACTGTAATCTAATCTCTGTTGAGTACGTAAAGACGTAAAGAAATTCATACTATTCACACTATTGCAGGCTTGGGCGAGCAAATTACTGTTAGTTGGGAACCAGAATTCAGTAGTGGCAGTGTTGTACCTCCAAGAGCAACACATTGTATTCTGAAAGTTCCTGTTGTCTCATCTAGTATCACCTTGAGTGTGGCCAGCTTGACAGAGATACAGTTACAGTCAAAATTGTCTTATTGCATATCATCACAATGTATAGCTTCTGGTCAGAACAAAAGTCAAGTTCTCAGCCAAAATGTATTGTCATGATGCATAATTTGTATAATGCATTGGGTTTTACTCTCCCCCAACATTATACAATAAGACAATTTCGACTGTAGTTAGAATTAGGGAAATAACTCTCCACGCTAACAAGCGGATGGGACTCATTAGTCTCATAGCGTTGGGCATGTGGCTGTGGTCTACCGTCGCATGTGATTACGAATTACGAAATTCCATTTCAGCCTGGTCTGGTCAGCCACCTTGAGCCAACGTATCCTCATCAACGAGTGCCACTGTGAGTCTCGTCACTACACCCTTTCCCTGCAGCCACGAAACTCTGACTGAATTTGCATATGGTGCAGAATTTGCTGGATCACATAAACGAGCTTGTAAACAAAGCACAAGATCTCAACAATCACATGGCTGAACTCACTGGACGCACAAATAACTTGCACAATGCTCTCAATAATCTTGTCAATAACGAGAACATTGACCTTACCATTGAATCACTTTACGAGTATGCTATTCTTTCCCTTTCTCTTGTACTCACGGCTAATTAAAGTTTCAGACTTATGCTACGCCGCGCGCGTGAGCATAATAGACATGCATTTAGTTGGCTGGGTGACACTGCCCAGGAACCACGACTCATCCCGCTGCCACTCCCTGGCCTGCAGCCATTAATTCTGCCAGACAGTGTTCACTTCCCGGAAACCACTGCTGAATTCAATAAACTGTGCAGTGAGCATTTTACTTCCTCTGTTGTACAGTGCACAGTTTCTAATTTATTTCAAGTTGGACACGTCAGGGCTATACTGCGGGCCTACGAACAAGCTGACAAGGGAATTTTAACACAGGTGTTGGATTGCCTGCAAAGATTTATTTGTGCATGGCCATGAAAATGAGGCCGACTTTGTCTTCGGTTATTTGTTACTCTGTGTATTATAGTCCTTCTTGTCTTCCACTTGAACCATTCCATGTCTCAGAATCAAAGTCTTCTATAAAGGGAGTTCAGCACAGCCACAAAGGTGGAGAGAGATGCATTATCCTCCCCCTTTCATCCTATCCCTCGTACACCTCGGTGTCACCTCCCTAACACTCGCACGACGTCGCTCGCACACCCTCGATCCTCCCACTCGGAACAGGGATTTACGCAAACATAGCCGAAACGAAGGCTTCCTTATCAGATAAACTTAAAGCTATCAATACGTATTGATACCACGGATTTTAATCTAATCTCCATATCAATTGCATCGAATACGTAAAGACGTAAAGAAATTCACACTATTCACACTATCACAGACTTGGGTGAGCGAAATATATTGTTGGTTGGGAATCGGAAGTCGGTATCGTTGTCGCTGTTGTACATACTTGAGCAACGGAGTGCATTCCGAAAGTTCCCGTTATCCCACTCACTACTGCATCGAGTATGACCGGCTCGATAGAGACGCAGTCGCCTTTGTCTGATGTGTAGACTACTAAAGCAAGGAAGCGTCGCTGGGCTGCGTGCATAGATTATTTAATAGTTACGTAAAGCCATCGGAACCAAATGGACTTACTTTTTTGTAATGACCAAAAGTAATTACGTAATCTGATATGTATATTTGATATTTGAGGACCTGTGCAGAATGCGCTACTTCAAGTAACCACCAAGCCAGCTGACGAGTCTGTTCGGCACCATCTTGTTCAAAAGGCACCATCACCATCAAGGGCCGTAGCACTCAGACCAGACAGCTAGACAGCCACTCAGACAGACAGACAGACAGACAGACAGACAGACAGACAGAAAAAGCTAGAGTTACAGATATATAACTCCTTTTGAATGTCGATTGCCACTACTACCAGTACAACCGCCGCGACCATGTCCACCTCCGCTAGGACTATCATGACACGCCGAACCTCGGTTCCGCGTGTGAGTCTCTCGACGAGGCAGCATATCGACATGCATGAGAGGGGTCTTGTTGGTCCTGCAGGTTCGTGGCGTCTACCTTTCATTGCGTACTTTAATTGCTGAAATAAATTAATGAATTTAAATCTAGGCGCCCGAGAGATCATAGCTGCTATCAAGACGCGCAAGAGCGTGACCAAACTTATCCTTGGGCATAACGAGCTTGGAGGTGAGGGCTGTCGAGAATTGTTTCGATTTCTCTGTACGGACGAGGGCCGACGATATCAGATTGCGGAGATCAGCCTGAACGCCAATGTGGTTGATGATGTGGGGCTTGAGGCTATTGCGGAGTACCTAGACGGGAATTTGTATTTGCGCGAATTGTTCTTGAATAACGTGAGTCTCTGCCACTCTTACCGTGAAAATGAGTCATTTTCTAACATTCATGCTTGGATAGAATGCTTTTCAAGTTGGTCTTGCTAATTTGTATGCGCCACGCAACATAATGCTTATCAGAATGTTTTCTAGGGAGAAATAGAGGTCGCAGTGAAGCTTAGCGCTGCAATCAACACATCAAAGCTCGAACTCATTTCGTTGACTTCCAACAAACGTCTTTCTGACAAGTTCTTCATCCCCTTCATTTCGCACCTGGACTCACCCACATTGCGCGAGTTGCAATTATCTGCAGTCGGACTTACACGCCTATCTGCACCTGCACTCACGGCGTACTGCATATCACCCCGTTCACGCGCGCTCGAGAGTCTCAGGTGTAACGGGAATTCTCTTGGCACAAGAGCGGTTCGTGCGTTGCTCACGGCACTACGCGGGTCAAATTTCACGCTGCAGAGACTAGAAGTATATGCGAACGCGGAGTTCATTGATTCGGACCTCGGCACAGACGAGGATAGAGAGACCGAGACTGAGACTGAGGAGAGCGTGGAAGAGGCTCGCGCGAGGTGGACGACGTGCGAACAGGATATGAAGAATATGCTTATTCGTAACGAGGTGCTGCGGAGGAAAGTACATGAAGAAGCTTTGGCACTGTTGCTGTATGCGCGTACTTTGCTTCTTAACTCCTCACGACGGTCTTCCTCTTCCACCTCCTCTTCTCACTCTCGCCCGTCCTCCTCCAGTCGGACGCCGCCTATTTCGAGTCTGGGTCTACCAGACTTAAAAGACCCGCGATTAGTAGGTTCAACGTCAGATTATGGTAACTTATTGCAGTCGACATCCGACTCAGAGACCAATAAGGAGTCGCTTTCCTCAAGTAAACCTACTCTATTCTCCATCTCCGCATCTCCGGCTCCGTCTCTATCCGCGTTCCCGTTCCGCGCTCTTCCAATCGAGCTACAACACTACATCCTTGCGTTCCTGTCTCCTTCCCTTTCCGTCGCTCAGCGTGTGCGGATATTTAGCTTCGCCTCGGACCCGACAACACTCCGTCCCCTTCTTCCCTCGCTCCGACCCACGTCTCCCCACGCAGGATGTATTCCTGACCCTGCGAGTTTGCCATTCAGCTCCTCTAGTCCCGGCACAAACAGTACACCCTCGTCTCCGGACTTATCAGGAATGGGAGTGGGAGTGGGAATGGGAATGGGGACAGGACCGCTAAGTCCAAATTCCACTCTCCCCCAGTCAACAACAAGACCAACAACAACAGCGACCGGTATGGGTACAAGCTTAAGTCCGATATCCGACATAGGAACGGGGAAGAGGAGAATCATGATGGATATGCTTACTCCTATTACTTCTATGAGTCGATGTGCGGGCGGGAAGTGTATGGGCGCGGGAGGGAGCGTGTTGTGTCATCGAGCAGAGGTGAGGATGCGGTGGCTTGCAGAGGTTGGGTGTGTGAGGTTTGATGTGGATGGACGAGGTGAGAAGGATGTGTTGATGTTGATTGCTGGGACGAGGGCTGGCGAGTCGTAAACCTCCTTTCCCCTTTCATTTTCATATTCTCTTTGTGTTATTTGGAGGATACTTCCTATCTTCTTCAATCTTTCACCCGTCATTCGGTTTCTTTGCTTTTTATATACACGCATGATTCATGAACAACATAGCCATTGTGTATATGTATGTATATGCGTAATTGCTTGTACTCTCAACAGCATTAGCATGCATTATGTCCTGTAAACTGTGTACTTTAACAGCTGTACATTGTTGTATTGTACCCAATACACTTTATTCACAATTACCTAGTACTATGATTCTCTGTTGGTTCACAACACCAGCCAAGAATCTTGGGTGTACCTGCATACAGAGTACCTTGTCAACATCAATTTAATATGTTGTATGCTTCTTAAACTCGCCAATGAATTCCACGAGTGCTTTGTGCAATTTTTTAAACAGAAGGAACTTGAGAAGTCCATTTTGCACAATTGTATTATATTTGGACTTAACCCAAAGAACACTCACAATTCTTGATAGCATTAAATAATGTTAGGATTTCTCTTCAGATGCAATTCAGGCAGTGTAGTAGAATGGAAGATTGAGAGGAGGCAACTGAGTCATTCTGCACCAACCTGGAGCTATATCCTAGTGATGATTGTAATCGCTTTGTACCTCTGAATAACCTTGCTGGAGCACTCAACCGTCGATTCCGACAGCATAAGCCAACAGCAGACCTCAATAAAGCAATAGAGCTTAGTCGTGCCACCTGGAACTTTCCCCCGTCAGCCATCCAGTACGTTGCACGTCTCCGAACAATCTTGTAAATTCCCTCCAAGCTTGCCTTGAACAGCACGGACTGATCGTAGACCTCTACGAGGCCACTGACCTGCTCCTTTTGTCCCTGGAAATTTGTCCTAAAGGCCATTCAGGTCGTTTTGCATCTCTGAATAGCTTTGTTAGCACCCTCCAAGCTTGATTTAAACATCATGGTCGGTCAACAGACCTCGATAAAGTGATCGAATATCGCCATGCTGGCCTAGAACTTTGCCCTGATGGCCATCCAAATCTCTCCACGTCTCTGGACGGCCTTGCAGACTCCCTGCTAGCCCGATTCGAACGGAGTGGGCGGACCGCGCACCTTGATGAGGCCATCGGGCACCACCGCGCTGCACTGGACCTTTGTCCTCTTGGCCATCCGAATTGTCCTGTGTCTCTGGCCAAAGTTGCAAATTCACACCATACGCGTTTCGAGAAGCACGGACAAACTGCAGACCCTGATGAGGCCATCGGGTATATTCGTGTTGCTCTACTGTTTTGCTCGGACATTCATCCCAATCGTCACGAGTACCCGAATAATCTTGCAGCTTTCTTAGCCACTCGATTTTAACAGCATAGGCAGACTCCAGACCTTGATGAGGCCATTAGGTGCTGTCGAGTTGTTCTACAGATTTGCCCAGACAAGCATCCTGATCGTCTCGGTATTTGGACGATCTGGCACGTGCCCTTGACGCTCGCTTTAAACAGCTTGGACGGACTGTGGACGTCAAAGAGGCGATCGATCACCATCATGTCGTTCTAGAACTTTGCCCTGACAACTATCCCAACCGCCATAAGTACCTTGCAGCTTCCTTTCGCACTCGATTTGAACAGTATGGACGGCCTGCAGACCTTGATGAGACCGTCGCGCATCAACATGCTACCTTGGAACTTTTAGGTCATGGCCACCCTGATCGATCCCCGTGCTTGGGTAACCTTGGAAATATCTTTAAATGTCGATTTGAGCAGTATGGGCAGGCTGCAGACCTTGATCAGGCCATCCGGTACTAAGGAATTGCTTTAGAACGCTGTCCCACGAACCAACCCGATCGTCCTGTGCATCTGAAAAACCTTGGGTGTTCCCTTCGGACACGATTTACACAGTATAGACGGACTGCAGACCTGTATGATGCCATTGGGCACTATCGTACTGCCTTGGATCTGTGCCCTGACGACTGTCTTTCTCGCTCCGGGAATTTGAAAGGCCTTGCAGACACCCTTTGTGTTCGATTTCAGCAGTATGGACTGACCGTAGACCTTGATAATGTCATTGAACTTCATCGTTCTGCCCTGGAACTTCTCCCCAGCAGCCATATTGATAGTTTACGGACCTCGATGAAGCCATCAGATACCATTATGCTGCCCTAGACCTGCAACCTGATGGCCATCCCAGTCGCTCCCCTTGTCTGGGCGATCTCGCACTTTCCCTTCATGCTCGATTCAGACAACCTGGACAGACAGCAGACCTTGACAAGGCTATAAGGTACCATCGTACAAACAGGCACCATCGTACTGCCCTGAAACTTTGTCCAGCTGGCCATTCTAACCATCCTCAGATAACAATGGCTTAGCTTTATCCCTACACTCTTGATTTGAGAAGTTTGGGAAGTTTGGGAGCATGAACGATTTTGAGGAGTGTATTCAATTATTAGAATGCGATACTGTGCATAATTTTTCGAGCTCAGCAATTCGTCTCGAAATAGCCAGACATTGGGCTGTACTTGCAGAAAGGCATTCTCATCATACAACGTCTAGAGCTTACAGGAAACAACGTTGCTCCTGCAATGTGTCCTCATTGTTAGTCCCACACTTCCTACACAACACGACTTCCTCAGCCAGGACTTGTATCGTGAAATGCTTGCATTAAATGCAGTGGCATATACTATTGAGAAAAACAGGCTTGAGAAGGCTATAGAGATACTTGAGCAAGGAAGGGGTTTACTCTGATCGCAGATGCGTGGTTTTAGGACACATTTGGATCACCCTGCAAAAATAAACCGAGAGCTTACTGATAGGTTTAGGAATGTTAGTTGCCAGCTGGAGAGTCTTGCAACATCATCATCTGTGCTGCAGTCCGGGCTGAGTGTTACCGAAAGTGGACCATATGCATTGGACGTCCGCAGAGAACAAAAATTGTTTGAGGAGAGGCTGAAGCTAAGAGCAACGACATACAAAAGATTCCTGGGTTCAAGGACTTTCTTACAGCTACACCGTTTAAAGCACTCCAAAGCGCGGCTTCAGAGGGTCCGGTGATTGTGGTTAATCACAGCAAATATCGATGCGACGCGTCGTTGTTCTCCACCACAAGGATCTGTTGGCTTCCTGCGTTCCATTAGATGGAGAGTTAGTATCGACATATTCGTCGAGCTCCTGAGAACCCGACAGAAATTATCAACTAACTTGCTACAGTATGGTGAGAAGCTTGCTGAAGCAATGAAAATGTTGTGGGGTAGGGTGGTCTTCAAAGTTGTTAACAAACTAAACGACCTTGCAATTGCCGAAGGATCGCGTATTTGGTGATGCCCAAGGTATATGCAGTCCGCACTTCCCTTCCACGCCGCACGTCCATTCGAAGATACAGACGGTATCTTTTGGATAAATGCATCTCGTCATACACCCGACACTCGGAGCGCTCATTCATGCACGATGCGGTAGAAATAGGCGGGAATCAGCAGTGCTTGTCGCTGGGGATATCTCACTTAAGTAAATCAGCCAGGCAAGAGATTAGAAACATCCGAAACTGTGGGATTTCCGCCCAACAACTCATTAGCAAGAAAGCACCTCGTGATGCAGTAATCACGCCCTTCGGAAGGCAACCTGGGTCCATTTTTTTGTCACGGAAACTTTACTTCGAAGCTTTTCCAATCCTCATTCAAGCTGTCCGACCGTGGACTGACCTTACTCGATATTGTCCAAGCAAACCTTCCGAATGCAGAGTACGTCTTCCTTTCCGCCTGCCACACTGCCGAATAGCCTCCTGGTCTCCCACCTGATGAAGTGATTCACTTGGCAGCGGCGATGCAGTTCTCTAGGTTTCGAAGCGTGATGGGATCGATGTAGGAGCTACTCGACGAGGACGGACCCTTTTTCGCCAAGACAGTATATGAGTGCATGTGCGACTGCGAAGGGGGCGAGGTGAGGTACAAGCGGGTGGCAGCTGGACTTCGGAAAGCAGCTGTGGAACTTAAAGGACGGGCTGACATTCAGACTGAGAGATGGGTCAACTTGATTCACATAGGTGCTCAATTGGATCTAGAGTGTTGAGAAATGTATGTTATATATTTATTGTTTGGTACATACCTTACTAGTTGTGTAATAATATTTCGGCCGTTTGCAGTTGTGAGTGGACAGAGGATCGAATTTTCGAAAAGTCCAAAAGTTGACTCAATGGAAGCACGTGATCACCAAAGCAGTCAAACCCACATTGATGACGACTTTGTAGCATGTACTGTCCTTCATGGCCAACAATTTATTATGTATATGGAGTACGCTCTTTGCACTCGCATGCCTCATTCTTTCCACCCCACTCCTGCATAATCAAGCTCTTTTATTCTCGAACAATGGTTCTTCGATCGTGAGCAAGCATGAACGACCACGAGTGCTACTGCTCACCGCTCACCCTGATGACGAATGCATGTTCTTCGCGCCTACATTACTTGGGCTTATTCAAGGACCATCTAAATCAAAAGATGGGCTTGAGCACCTTGAAGCAAATTATGAAGAAGTTACGCCGTCTGCGGACGTGTATTCTCTCTGTCTTTCCTCAGGAAATTCAGAAGGTTTAGGAGAGATACGGAAACGCGAGCTTGGAGACAGTCTTGACGTCCTTGGTATTGGTATAGAGAGACGTTGGGTCCTGGACGAACCGTAAGCTATTCTGTACCTCTTTCTTCGAAATCGTGATTCACGACACATACTTTATTACCACAGATTTCAGGACAATATCACTTTGTTCTGGAATGCAAAACTCATTGCGGATCATGTCAGACCCTATGTTGAAGAAAACGGGATAGATGTGGTATGCCAATAAGCTATGCATTTTACATTAAATTAACATGATTTCAATCGGTGGTTTCTTCGTCTATTACATGCATCTGTTACGTGGCTGGGCATGACGGTAGATTATAACCTTTGACGACCGCGGGATATCATCACATCCAAATCACATCTCCCTCATACATGGAGCCCGGGAGCTCCTAGCTAATTCTCCGGGAAATAATCTACGTGCATTCAGCCTCAAGACCGTCGGAATTATCTCAAAATATACCGGCGCTGGAGCTGCACTATTCGCAAAGTTAGAGCAAGCATTCTGTTCTATCACTCCAGGTCTTCCTTTATTGTACGGACTCCTGCTGGATGTCCTCCCTGCTTTGCCTGGAGGTCTCCGTATCACGGACTGCACGAAGTACGATGCTGGAGAGACTGGGTCAAGCGTTTTATTCGTATCGGGATGGAAGGAATACATGACAGCACTACGCGCTATGCGAATGCACAGATCACAGCTCGTATGGTTTCGCTGGCTTTATGTAGCTTTCTCACGCTATATGTGGGTCAACGAGTTGAACGAGATTGTCGTCAGTTAGGATATCCTATGTATTTTGCCGTTCCTAAGCACATGTGGATTGTGGACATTCTCGGCTAACCGCGATATCTCTTCATGGTCGAACGATGGATGCGAGGCGCTGAAGTAGAAGCCGAAGGTCCTCCTAATCGGAAATGAGGTCGCGAATACTCATTGGTAGACCGAGGGTGCTCTTTATTCGACCGGGGGCGTTGCTACTTGACTGATAGGAATTAGTGCTTCCAGCTTTGTAATAGTAATTTATTGGATTGATCAACTTCAAGACAAAGCTCTATAGCTGTATCTCTATGATTTAAGAACTATTCAGAAAAGACATAATAAGAACATTATTAAAGTCTAGCATTACATTTACACAAAAAGTGAGCTATAATCAAAATCTTGAAGTTATCTTGGAGAGTGGACAAGCACTGCTTAACGAGTATCTAACATTAATGATGCTGTATTTGATCATCTTTGTCCGAGAAAAGGCCTAGCACTCAATCAAACTTCCAAAAAAAGCATCATGAATCCGAATCGTTTATTGCCATGCAAGACGTGAAAGACACATTTCCTTTTGTAGTACAAGCTCATACTGGGAGCCAGGTCGGTCAATAAGTAGGAAATGAAACAAAAAATGAAAAACTAAAAGAGTTCGAAAATAGAGAGACATGATCACGAGTTCAAGATTGTGTGAGAAAATGATGAAAAGAAGCAATGATAAATGCTTACGAGACAAAAAAAGATATTTATAAAAAGATGTGTCGTGAGAGTCAGGGTTTCCATGTTGGGTGTATAACAATTGGCGGAGGGAAATGATGTTAGATGAGAGCGAAGGGAAGGTGGAAGAACGAAAAATTTCCGTACGGAGCTAAGAAAAAAAGGAAAGGAAGTCGAGCGTCTCGAAATAATAACAATAATACATTTGGTTGGGAAGACGCTCAGGGCGATGGCCATGCATCGCATATCCACTGGGAAACAGCAGGGTAAAAGAAGCAGATAGTTCGCGCGAATTCAATCGCCACAAACCCCAATAAACCGAGAACAATAAGTAACGATGCTGTAGTGGAAGTGATTGAGGATAAACGTCTAACATAGTCCGATGATCCCGACTCCCTCGTGCCTGCGCAGAAGGGACAGCGAGAATTCTAAGACCATGTGGATGGCCCGAAGATTTCTCCAGGCGCAAGCGTAAAGAAGGGTGCGCCCATTGCATCTAGCGTCTTCATCCATACGGTGTTGCCCCACCAGTCAAGCGTAATGCCACCCTTCGGGAGTTGTAACGAGAAGAAAATGACAATCAAAGAAATTGCGACGCCAGAATCTAGTGCTGCGCTGAGAATATAGTTATAACGCATCCACCACTAAGAGTATATGTAATTAACACATCGACACTTAAATAGAACTTGATAGATCACGTACGCGGAAGTGGAAGCGGCGCATAAAGTACTGGAAGACAGCACCCATTGCAAACCATGCGGAATAGTTGATACCCGTCGCAGGCGGAAGCATGTTAATACCCGAGAAGAGAACTGGCACGTTTACGAAACGCCAAGGCGATAATGGGTAGCGGCGCGCGAGGAAGTAGAACGGAATCGGGAGGATTGCACCGATGAGGAAGAAGTACAAAATTGGTTGATACCTATCGTAGAATATTGTTCACTCAGTTGTTAGGTTATACGGTGGATATATGCAGACTAGACTCACAGTGAATCTGAGGAGAACATGCGTGCCGGACCGATACCACCCCAGATAAGCGCGGCAGTAGCAAACGTGCTTGTACTCGGGCAAATAAACCTTGCTTTCTGATCAGGAGAGCACAAGTCCGGAATGTTCCCAAACATCCAATCCTGAACGCCAAGGCTCACAAACACCGCGAGGATTGTCGCAACGATCTGTGCAGTGAACATCGTGCGTGGGGGTACCTTCATGTAGTGACCAAGCTTGAGGTCACCGAGGAAAGCAACGGCCTGCGAGAGTGAGATGAAGCAGAACGTCTTGAAGATCATCAATGCAACAGGACGACCAGGGATCACATAGCCGGCAATGAGCTCCGCAAATACCTGCATTGCGACAGTCTGGTTTGTGATGGCTTGGATCATTCCGACGGGCAAGAGGAAAATAAGAGCAATGCCTAGTGCGAATACGAGGGCCCAAACAGGCATCTTTGTGTCGAACACCTCAATGGTGATAACGCCCATGACGAAAGCAATCACGAGAACGCCGAGATACCACAGCATAGGCACCTCCGGATAAACCGACATGAGACGGGAATGTACATCACGTTGATCCCTCAGCGAACGGCGGAACTGGCGGATAATATCGTGACGATACCACACTACGAAAACAACAATTAGAACAAATCAACTCCCGGAAGAGGAAAGAAATTACGAACAGAAGGTGTGCACGAAGACACCAGTCATCGACGCGAAAGAGATAGCATAAGCCATCGCGAGTGTCACGGGAATGAAAACCGGCGAATATGACTTGTATGCATCGACATTGAACTCGCCATTCTGGATGACAACAGTCGGATCGTATGGAAGACCTGTGTTATCAAATGCAAGCGTGGAGGACATCGGAAGGAACTTGGCGAAGAAAACATTCTTATCTGCAGAGGACAATAGCAGTTGAGCATATAATGATCCGTTATTGATTAAACAACTCACAGTAAAGAATGGGAGTAAGAATCCAGAAAACAATAACAAAGGCAACAATCGTGTTGACCTGTGCCCACCACGGGACGACCAGAGGGCTAGCAATATACGAAATCATACTCCAGTCGAAAGTGAGGAAACCCATGCCAAGACCGGTTGAGTAACCAAACAGCTGGTTGATCACAATGTTGTTCGGCGCAATCCAACAGACCCAGTTGAACATGCTGAGTGCGGTGAAGATATATCCCGGAAACCAGTACCACACGAAGCTGCCCATCATTGCAAAGAGGAAGAAGCGCTCGCGGCTCATGTGTTTCGTTTCAACTTTACCATAGTTTCTGTGCAGAGTATTGAAGAGGGCACAATTTACGAGCGCACCAGGCCACAACATTGCACTTGGCCAGACAAGGAACTGACGGGCAAGCCCTGCGAAGGAGTAGCCGATGAGCTGCGAGGACAAGCACAACAGAATCTGGTAGCCAGAGCCCCAGTCCTGGTTGAAGAAAACTTTTTGCGTTGCGATGATGTCTGTTGCATACACGCGGCCGGCAACAACACTGGCCATGACAGTGATTACGGTGTGCTCCTTGATGTTGAATGGTCCAGGGTTGAGAGACCAGACGTAGCCGAATGTGTTGAAACGAGTTCTGGGTAGGAATCTTTCGAAAGCTTTCCCGATTGGTAAGGCGAGAAGCTGGGCAACGAGGCCAGAAACAAATACGGAGGGATCTGTTCAAATCTTAACATCAGTCATTTGAAATTTGAGAGTCGGGTTATGGGGCTTACATCGCATGGTGAAAAACTGGTTAAGGGCAGCGATCACAATTGTGAAGATAATGCCAATGAACCACATCCTGAACGTGTTAACAGGCATGGTCGGGTCATCAGTATTAGATACAGCCGCTCGTACTTCCGCGTAAGGAGATTCACTACAGAAATAGTAGCATATTAGTTCCGTTCTTTATCAACCTTATGATCGACTTACTCTTCGTAATCGTCAAAGGCGTCAGAAGAGCGCATATGCAAGCGACTCTCGCTGCTCCTATACATCGAGTCGGCCCGCGACTCGGTGTCGAAATCGGACGGTTCGGTACCGATGGACGGGCCGATGTGCACATCGCTTGCAAACTTGTGTTTATGATCAAGCTCAAACGATTCTCCACTGAGCGAGGTCACGTCGGAGGCTCCACTAAAGTCCCAATTGGGGTCATTGAGATGGAGGAGATGCTCCTTGACTTCCTCATCATCGACATCAGAGGGCACATCTGGAGCAGTACGACGACGAGTAAAGGTGAGCGTTGGAACGTAAGCAGGTGCACTCTTTTGGTCCATGGTTGAGACTCAAAGACCTGAGGAGAGGAAGGGAGGTATCGGCTCGTACACAGACGCGAGCCTTTAAGCAGTCCCTTTTGTATGTATTGGAGGCCCAGCATTCCGTTATTGTGCAAAAAATGAGTGGGAAGTGAAAGAGCCGGGGTTGATGAGTGCACAAAAGACAATAAGCTGACGCGCCCTGAACTCGCTTCTAGACAAAAGGGCGTGAGCATGCTTTCCAAGTTCCTTCCCTTCCGGTCCGTGAGTCACAATCACACAGAATTAGAGTGGCCGAGAAAACCAAAGTCATAACAGGATAAGCCCTTCTGATTATCTGTTCCTTGCACTTTGCCAATAGGCGAGTTTGAAAAGACACATTTGACTTTGAGCAGGGTCGCCTCATGGCAAAACCATCATTGCCAGCAATGCCCGCAATGTAAGCAGTGCATTCCAGTCCCGCTAGCGGATCTTCTTGATGTGTGGCAACGAGCACGTTGGTGCTAGAATGGAGGAGGAAAGAGTATTAATCCGTACGACAGAGCAGTCGCCTTGCGGCGCACAAAAAGGGCTGTGAACTGGGGACAAAAGGACGTGACGGCGCGGCGGTGACAGAGCTAATTGTGACAGTCACACATTGATGGACCATCGAGGTGCTACCGTGGGCCCTGGCTGACTTCAGAATTCCTGCTTGAAGTAGTTTACAAGGTTACGACTGTTAAGGTGTTGAGATAGATAGTGGTACCCCAGCTCGTCCGAAATACGTCTGGCAATGGAAATATCTGCGCGCGCTATCAAAGTGGAACCAACTCCGTCGATCGGGTTTCCATATCAGGTACTCGAAATTAAAGTTCTTCATCATGATCTTCCCCCCGGAAACAGATGTTGCCACAATACAACTGCTCGCCTTATTCGGAGGAATAGGAATATTACATCACATAGCCTACAATGCCAACGCCACACTTACACGGGCCGCATGGATTTCGAACTGTGCAGTGCAAACTTGATCATATTATTTAAACTACTCGAAAGGTGGAACGTTCAAAGTGTGTATGGGAATGGAGGATGTTCTCGACTTTCTTAGAGTCAAATCCTCCTAATAGTCATTGTGGTACTTGTAATTTAGCTGATCACTTAAACTGCCGCAGATTCCTCCAGGCCAAGCACGATGGCATATAGTTAGATACCAGAGAGTACCAGTTCCAAACAACGTTCACAGTAGGAGTACGTATCTTACTGATGGCTCTATTTGACCATACTGTCGCATTTTCCAAATAGGAAAAGGATAACATCATCTTGACATGATTGACAAAACCAGCCCATGCACGGAAAAATGGCCACTAGAAAAAGGTGATGTTGACAAAAGCAGTAAAAGCAATCGTTATGGCACTGTGGGATGTAATGGCACTGGGGAGCCTACAAATTTCTCTTGTATGTGTTACAGTACCAACCATACCTTCTGTAATTATGCATGTGCAATAGTCAATGTTTTGATCGTGTCGAAATTTGGACATGCAATACTGGCAAGAGGCCAAGAGCAAATTACATTAGCAAGTATGGATAAGATTACATACAGTGAGAAATTTTTGGTCACTGTTGAAAGCTGGACATGCAATACCGGCAAGAGGCCAAGAGCAAATTACCTTAGCACGTATGGATAAGATTGTATGTAGTGAGACATTTTTGTCACTGTTACAAACTGGACAGGAAGCCACAACATAATTGCACCAATACAAAGTACTACTGTAGACAAGAACAGGGAAAAGAGTATAAACAGCAGAGTATACAAGACTGACTTGAAGTGTCTCAGCCAACAGAATTATGTAAAGTCAGAGACTAACAATTATGTGTGACCTGATGGTAGTAGGTACTACTGATGGTAACACTTTGCCGGAATGACATTGTGTTTGAAATGCAAAGTTATATAGTATATAAGAGTAGGAACAGATCCTAAATAATGTACTGGAGTACATATTCAAGAGTTGCAAACAATCAAGAACTTATTACTACAATGTCAAATCCAAATGAAGTAGCCAAAAACTATATACAAGCTAATCATCACACATTAGGTGAAGAATACAGAGATCATATAAAGTCAATTCAAGATGAAGTAGATTGTAATCTATTCAACTACTTATTTTATTTAAAGAATAATATAATAACTAATACTATTATTTATTCTGAGACAGGCAAATACTTGAATTTTACTAAAGCTAATGTTCATGCTAGTGATAACACTATAGAATATTCTGTTACAAATGAAAAGACTAAACAAAAAGACACTGGCAGGAAAAATCTACAAGACTTTATAGCACAAATATTCATGTTGGCACAGGATGAAGATTAGTATAGATATGTTTTATCAGAACAAAGAAACTGTTGATTATTTGACAGAGATACTAGACTATGTTAAGATGTGGATGAATAAAACATTTATAACTAGATAATTGATCATTGTCATTAATATTTGACTGGGTAGAGAAGCATGCTGTGATAGTTGAAAAGCAGATAATGTAGAAAACAAATCATTCCAGCAATCATATCATTCAATTCTACCTAATAGGCATTCAAGGTGAGATTCTAGGAACTCCTCGGGCATGCAAAATACAATTCATATGTATTTGAATAACAAACCCATCTTGGTGACTCACTTTGTGAACATCTTGCACAACCATTCAGCTCTGAAGGCAAGATATTTACAATCACACTGGGCAGTACATTGTAACTTGTACTTATCAAACGAGCAACGGAGCTCTTGTATGTTTGCTCGAAATGCTTTGTATTGACATTTCAAGCCTGCATGACGTCAAAGTAGGTGTAACGTAGTAGCGCCTGCCGTTACCTTCAGTCATCTTGACGCAACACATGGGGCATTTCACAATTCCTTACCTTAAAAAATAACTTACATAATGATAAACATTATTTGAAATTTATTTTCCCATTTTTGAC